GGGGGGGGGGGGGGGGGGGGGGGGGGGGGGGGGGGGGGGGGGGGGGGGGGGGGGGGGGGGGGGGGGGGGGGGGGGGGGGGGGGGGGGGGGGGGGGGGGGGGGGGGGGGGGGGGGGGGGGGGGGGGGGGGGGGGGGGGGGGGGGGGGATAAGAATGTACCTGTCACAAAATCTGAGGCTCAAATCTGTGAGGAATTGGCAATTCTCGCCAATAGCTACAATTCCTGCATCCCCAATCTAGCTTACAAGAAAACACTTCATTAACAATTCCATCCCACTAGAGAGTCAATACATAATGCAGAATGAATGAAGCCCAACGGATCCAACTTGTTTTACTAAGCGAGGGAAGTGCTTTCTCACAAATAATATTCTTAATTAAGACATAAATAGAACATCAATCAGACTAATATGGATATATTTTTCTTAAAATGATGGAGTAGAGAGAGAGAGAGAGACCTCATAACATCGACGAATATGGAGTTTCTTCAAATTTCTGCATCCTTTTGCTATGCCACATATCGCTTCGTCTCCAATTCTCGAGCAATCTACCAAGTGGAGTGCTTGTAAGAACTTGCAACTTTGACCAATTCCAAGAAGACCAGAGTTAACAATCTTTTGGCAGTACAGCAAAGCCAATTCAGTGAGCTGGCTGAAAAAAAGGAAGCAGCGAAGAGAGATTCAATCAATAAAAAAAATCAGTTAATCATCGGAGGGGGGGTAATAAGTACCCCCCTAATGCACCAATCAAACACTTATCATAATAACTCCATAATAGACCCCACGGCAAGGAGGGTAATGCATGTATTGCAGATGATAAATCTAGACAGTACATCCATTTGAATACTCAAGAAAGATTTTCAAAAGGAGTTGAAACGAAACAATACTGGCAAGATTTTCCGATGGATTCTAGTCCCAAGGATCCAATGTTGTGGCAGCCGTTAACTTCAAGATGTGTTAGTCCTTTACAACCAGCTGCAACTGCATCCAAGCCTATGTCGCTCAGGAAATAGCAATCACTTAGAGTGAGATTTTTTAACTTCTTGCAGCCTACTCCAATGGCACGTAGTCCCCTGAATCATAAGAAAAATGTGGGAGGGTAAACAAATTAATAATGCTGAGATCAAGATTCTTCCGGATGCTAGTGCCTCTCAACCATTAATGCACACGTAATTTTGACAAGAATATCAGGCATAATGTTCGGTGCTCAATGAAGCCGATGCTGTATTATCATCCCCATCTTAAATTAAGGGGAGATCCCAGAAGCGTAATTCCTTTTCCTTCAACTAGGCAGCAGCTTGCTCAGAAAAAGCTATATCATCACAAAAAATGAGGCCCCTGTGTTGGGAGAAACAATGAATGTTTTAAATTTTTGTATTTAAAAGAATCTTACTTGTCGGTAAATTCTTGAAAACTGTATAAAGCCAATAATTCCAGTGAAGGACATAAGGAGCCTACAGCTACCAAAGCTTCATCTGTGACATTTGTACACTGTAGCTTCAAGACTTTCAAAAGTGGGCATCCTTGGGCTACAGAAAGCACTCCTTTGTTGTGGATAATTTCCGAATCTAGCGACAAAGACTCCAGATATTTGCAGTGCATACCCACAGCTTCTAATGAGACATCCGTTATTTTGGCACAGGCTGTAATACCAAATGTTTTCAATGATTTTCCACAACCACGTGCTAATTCAACCAAACCAGTATCAGTCAACCCTTCACAAAAACGCAAATTTACATCTTCAAGTTGTTTACAGAATTCCCCAACTGCAGCAACACCTTGGTCCCCAACATAGCAACCCTAGAAAATATCAGAACTGAATAAATACTTTTCAGAAAGAACATTACATATAGTAACCTTCAGACAAAGAAGCGTGGGTGTAATGCATTGGGGAAACTATGATTATTATAAATAGAACTTAGAAGCGTCCTGACATAGGAAGTCTTAAAATAAATTTAGGTTCAGCCAAGCTAGACTTCAGCTAGCAATTCCAGGTGAAGAAAACCCATGTCGTTAAAAAATTTCAGTCAAAAGCCTGACACAGAAAAACATTCAGCTAATATGTAAAGCCATTATTCACATAAAAGAACAAGTTCTGTGATGGCAGTACTTGAATAAGAGACGATCATGTATATGCAGGTTGGGTCATCTGCCTTTTCTAAACCCATTTGGATATCTAAAATTCTAAATGACACCATGTAAGGACGGACGTGCCACACTATGATGGCCACCTTCCTACCTTCTGTCACCAATTGGTTAGGCATCACCCTTCATGGACACCCACAATTAAGAAACCAAGAAGGTAAAAAACAAAAAAGAAAGTGCATGACATGCCTACCACTGGCAATGAGCTTCAAAAAGATAATAACAGAATGCTGTAGATTTGCAACAATAACAGACCAGGGGCATAATTCTCAATTATATGGGTTTTTTGAATGAAAAAAAGGAGCATTAAATGTATTGTAGCATATCAAAATTAGGAAACTAAACATTAAAAATTCACGTTTCACTGATTTAGGGAATTTTCTTCCTTAAAATAGGAAACTAAACAAAGAATTACCTGTAGATCCAGCGACTTCAAAAACCTACACTTCTCAGCAAGGGATGTTAAACCCTGACTTGAAATGTTAGAGCACCAAATTAAGCTCAGTTTCTCCAGATTTGGAAAACCTACGGAGAGAGCAATTAGCCCAGCATCTGACAGATAAGAAGACTCCAGCGCACCTTCAGCCCCAGTATTATCAGTTGCATGGTGGGAGTTAAATGGCAAGCACATGACTTCATTGCGACGTCTTCTTCCCTGTATAGACATTACCAGTAAAATTCTGACAAGATCTTTGAGATGCTTTGATTCAATTTGAACCTTAAAAACGTTAGTTTCATTAAATTAAATCCTAAACTTGAGCGAGAAGTGGAATTAATATCCTCTTCTCAAAATCATGCTAAAAGATGACCCAATAACAAATGATATATCATACAAAACTCAACCAACACAATATCCTAAATCCAGACAACTTAGTAGTTACAAGAACATTCAGACCCAGCACGTGGAAACCTTGCCACAACAAAATCGGCACCTGAGAAATAGAAAATGTCGCACTTATCTGTATATCTAGAAGATAGTAACTCAACAAACACAGTTATTTTCATTCAAGTTTAGGGTTTGATTAGATAGAATTAATATTTCAAAGTTTTTACTCACACAAGTTTAGTAGTGAATTTCTCCTCCCTGAATAAGACTTTTTCCTGAGTCCTCAGGTCTAAAAGAACAGTTGACCTAAATCAAATGCGTACAATCGCCCAAGTAACATCAAACCACTCTGCCAATTTCCTTTCTCCTTTTCCCCTTACCTAAATTCACACCACTGTTTCCCAACAATACTTTTTGATATAGTCATATTCCAGTTCACTCTCCAGAACACTCGATAAGCGAATCAAATACTCCAATTACACATAATACACTCGTAAAATCAAACCAACACACGAAATTCCATTTCTAAACACATCAAACTGAAAATTAGCATCATCCACAAACCTAATTGAATTTCAAGTAGGCAATCGAAGTGAACATTGATGGCTTACTGAATGAAGGGGGAGAGAAATCGCCAAGCGTTCGTCAATGTGGACATTTCTGATATTGACGAAACGGCGAGCAAGGAGATGAACAAAGAGCTCGGGACTACCAGTTGCGCCAATTCGTAGAGTGGTTCGGCTGAGTCGCTCGAGTTTGAGCCAACGCTTGCAGACGAGAGAACAAGCATCGCGACTCAGCTTGGAGTCAAGGCACCGGAAGATCTCAATGATCAGCTCATCAGGAAGAATGGTATTGATCCAAGCATGGCCTCGCATTGTATATGAACTCTCAATCTCTTCGCTGATGAAATTTGAAAGCGAAATTCGTTTACATCAGAGATAAAACAGAACCAAACGTCGAGGGGGTAAATCGGAGGAAGGCCTTTATAGTTGGAGGATCGGTGGAGAGGGAAAGGAGTGATTTACCATAATACCCCTTGTCTATGTTGATAACTACCATGCAAGCCAATGTCCACGTGTCTTCGCCTAGTAACTTTCCCTTTCATCCCAGCCCATAGAATTCTCATTGAAAATTCAATTTTTTATTTCTTTGAAATATTTGGGATTTTTATTATTGCCTAAATTATAGAAACAAGCCTTCTAATTTTCCCTTTATTAAAAAACTAATCTTATTATTTTTTTAAAAAATGGTTTAATATTTATTTTTGTTTACAGTATAAAAGCACGTGGGGCTAATGAAATAAAAATAAAAGTAAAAATAAAGATAAAGGACGACGAAAATCGTTATTCGTTAAGGAAGCCAATAATACATGAAAATATTGAAAATGGTCATAAACGACGTCGCTTTGGCTCTGTCCATGATAGGATCATCCAATTCCTTAAACCAAACAGGCCGATTGTTCTTCCCTCGTCCAGTTGCATCGTTGATTTCGTAAGCATACGCCATACTTGGAACAATAAAGCAACGTTTTTCTTTTTCGTTGATTTGATTAAAGAAAAGAAAATGTGAATGTTTGGTGAAGATTCCGTCAGAATTTTACCTGAAAAATCGAATACGGAAACAGCAGAGAGGAAGGTTTAGGAGGAAGACAGAAAGAAAAAGTCTCCGAACAATGGTGCTTCCGCTTTGATTCGTTGTGTTTCTGCAAATTCTGAAGGATTCTCGAAGGATCGTTTGAGAAAAAATTGAGGAAAACGACGGAAGGATCTTGATCTGTGCTAAAGATCATGTCGTTCTCATTCTTCAAGCCGTCGAGGCCTAAAACCCCTCAGGAGATGGTCAAATCCATTAAGGAAAGCCTCATGGCCCTCGATACCAAGACCGTCGTCGAAGTTAGAGCTCTCGAGAAGGTTAGTCTCGATTCCTCAAATTCGCTCACTATTTGAGCAATTTTTCTTTCGGAAATTCTAGGTTTAAGAGAATTGTTTGATGGAATTGCTTTGTCTATGAATTAGATGTTAATTGAATATACGAATGATCCTTTGCGTCAGGCCATGGAAGAAGTTGAGAAGAACTTTGTAACTATGAGATGTATGCTTATTGGAGATGCGGAGGTTGAGCCCATTGCGGAGCAAGTTTCACAGCTAACGCAGGAGATATGTAATGAGTGTCTTATCGATCTTCTAATTCACAAGCTGCCTGTTCTTGGATGGGAAGTAAGTTATTTCCTACATTTCTCACAGTAGATCGCCTGGAAAAACGTTTATCTTAATCAATCTTCAGTTTGACAATGTTTTTCAATGTAGGCAAGAAAGGACCTTGTGAATTGTTGGTCCATATTGTTGAAACAAAAGGTTGGCTCCACTTATTGCTGTGTAAACTACATTGAGAACCATTTTGAGTTGCTAGACTTTCTCGTTGTGTGGTAAGTTAAAGAATATCACTTTCTGAGTTAGTTCATATCTGTGTCGAGTCATGATATCAATCTGCAGATTGGCGTGGTTGCAAGCGTAATTCTATGCGTAGAATACTACCATTTGAACTCTGACGTTCATATCCGTTTCCTTTTTATACAAGTGCAATGCTACCATTTGAACTCTGCTTACGCTTAATCCGATGCTTGTTACACGCAGCTACGACAACAAGGAAATTGCCGTAAACTGTGGAAATATGTTAAGGGAATGCATCAAATTCCCAACCCTTGCAAAGTAAGATGCACGCTCTTTTTTTCTTTTTTTTTCACAATGATCGTTGAGATTTTGGCAATGTGCTAAAGTTGATGCTAATTCAGAATGTATGAATGCCAATACTAAAATGGAGTGAAGCTCCATGATTGTTCTTTGGTAATAATATTACTAAGAAGTATTATACAAGTTTGGACTTGCAAGGACTTGTTGCTCATATTATGGGCATGCCTCTGCATTCTGGGAATATTATGCTTACATATTTGACAATTTTTTCTCATTCAATTTTTGGCATTAACTCATTTAATAATGCATAACCTAATTCGTAGGAGCAGCTCTCCTGTTTGTATTCTATGCTGCCCCAGCATTCAAGATTTCTTTTGGATTTTCATGTTTCTTAAATCCATTTTACTGTGAACCTTACTTGGAATATAAAAATAAGTCTATTGAAGTACCTTATGAATTTGAACCAAAGATTACGCACGTGAGATCTTTTAGAGAAGAAACTGTGTAGTTTTCCAAACATGACAAGTTATTGTTAGTGAGACTCTCATTGGTTGACGGGAAACTCTTACTGAGGTTCATTTCTTCACAGTTTACTTTTGTAGTGATTTCTCAGATACATATTAGAGGCTGCAAGTTTCGAATTGTTCTTCAAGTTTGTGGAGTTACCAAATTTTGACGTTGCATCAGATGCATTTTCTACTTTCAAGGTGAGACATAAGTTGCTGTATTACGTTTTCTTTACACGTAATGCAAAATGCGTTCGATTTGATACCCATAGTGCAAACTTGAAACATGTACATTTCTGGCAGGACCTGCTTACCAAACACGAAAATATAGTTTCCGACTTTTTGAGTGCTCATTATGATGAGGTATGCTGCTTTTCTTTGGATCGTTTTTACTTTTAGTCCCTTAATCTCTTTCCTTTGAATGTATTGATTCTCATACTTTCATTTATTTCATCTCCATTCTTTTGGAAGTGTATTGAAACCCAATGTTAGTTAAAAGCAATGAAATCCAAGGACTAGATTTCCAGTTCGATCTTTGTAGTGCTGGTTGTAATTAACATAGCAACAGTTATGATATGGCCTAGAGTCCTGCTTGTCTGACATCAAAGTATAGAATATATCCCAAATAGCTATTTATACATGATTTTTTAGGACTCCATTTTTGTTCATATCATGAGAGATTATTTTCCAGTTCTTTGACAGATACGAAAAACTCCTGACTTCTTCCAATTATGTAACTAGAAGACAGTCATTGAAGGTTCGTTCTCCCGGGGGCTCTTTTAATCTCCTTTTATATGACTAAATACGTAATTATGGGATATTTTGGTGACAAATGTTTTTTTTTTTTTTTTTTTTTTTTAGCTTCTATCAGAGTTCTTATTGGAATCTCCGAATTCCCAAATAATGAAGCGTTACATTCTAGAAGTTCGGAATTTGAAAGTAATGATGACCCTATTAAAGGTAATGTAATGATTAATTGACCACGTTTAGTGTTTTTCCAATTTGTCCATCAGTTGGTGCTAGTATTATTTGCCATGGAGGCTCAACCTTGTTCCATTTTCGTTACTTTTCCGAGCAGGATTCTAGCAAGAACATCCAACTGTCTGCTTTCCACATATTCAAGGTGATGTATTTTGCTCTTATGTTGGACTTCCCTTACTCATTACCTTGTTGAAGGATCTATTGCCGTCATGGTTGCCTTTTCTTTGCATCTTGCTGGTTTAGCAACCTGCCGGCTGCAGCACCTATAAAATGGTTCAAAAAGTTCTGTTGGTATGTAGTGGCACCAAACATGGCATGAACTTCAATAGACGTTTGAATTTTGAAATTCTTTGTTAACGCTTGGGATCTCGAGGTCTCACTCGCCACATTATGTTCATTGGTCCATTCCCACTAATTTCCAGAAAGGTGGGGAACAAAGCATTTCTTATAAGGGTGTAGCAACCTCTCCCTAGTAGACGCGTTTTAAAATCTTGAGGGGAAGCCCAAAAGGGAAAGCGCAAAGAGAACAATATTTGCTAGCGGTGGGCTTGAACTATTACAAATGGTATCAAAGCCAGACACTGAGCAGTATGCCAGTGAAAACGTTGGGCCCCCCTGAATTGTGAAATCCCACATCGACTGGAGAGGGGAACAAAGCATTCCTTATGAGGATGTGGAAACCTCTCCCCCAAGTAGACACGTTTTAAAACCTTGAGGAGAAGTCCGAAAAGAGGACAATATGCTATAAAAAAAAAAAAAAATCCTACTCATAGTGATGTGAACCTTTGAGATTTCTTGATATTTGATGACGAATCTAGATTTTAAGAGCAAATGGAAATATTTAAAACACGAAGAAGGCAATTGGTTTTGTTGATCAAGTGCAAACCTTTGTGACTTATTATATAGGACAGTATATGATAACTATAATGTGGATCATTTGGTCCTATTATTTTGCAGGTTTTTGTTGCTAATCCTAATAAGCCACGTGAAATCAAGGTTATCGTAGCGAAAAACCACGAAAAGCTTCTGGAATTGCTTCACGATCTTTCTCCTGGGAAAGGTTCTTAGTTTAAAATGGCAGCATTATATTCTCTCTTCATAATAGCTTGTAGAACTAGAAACATGGCAGGCTAGTTGAATCCATCGTTGCGTTCGATTTACAGGTGCGGAAGACGAACAGTTCGAAGAAGAAAAGGAGTTGATTATCAAAGAAATAGAGAGAGTTTCACGCTTGCAACATCTTACTGGTTGAAGCCATTGTTCTCCCACGCCGTGCCTTTATCCCCCAAAACTATGGCTCCTGTTGAGTGAGTTTGCATTTAAAATGCAGGAGAAGTTTGATTATTTGTGAAAGTACAAGTTATTAATGTATAAATAATTCTCTTTAACAGTGTACTTCGAAACATTGTTGCAAAACAGGAATTTTCCACGATAATCATGGAGGTTCGAGTTTTCCATAATTTTTTTTTTTCATTTTTTAATATATATATATTTAAATATATTTGTTTCAAAGATTTTTTAAAGAAATGTTTATATTTTCTAATATAATTTATATTTAAATATGTAAAACATCTTACTTAGATCCAATAACAACATTATTTCTAAAAATTCAAATTTTAATTTTAATTATATATCTTTTCCACTTAATACGTATCATATATTTTACACTTAATATTTGGCTATTATATATCTTTTACACTTAATACGTTGTTAGGACAAAGATATGACGAAAAATATAATTCCGTCACTTAGAGGAGTCCTCTCGAGACTTAATTTTCTGAGTTAAATGAAAATCTCTAATTAAATATATGACTCAACTAATTTAGTATATGCTCGTGTCAAAATTTTGAATAAAGCAGAAATTTTTATTGTCGGTATTAAAAGAAGGCCGATCAAATATTCTGTTTAAGGAATCATTTTGATTGCAAAATCTTGCTTAATTTACAAACAAGGTATATATAGAGATATATGTAACACAGTTTAGCTGGACAAATTGAACTAAATTATCAAACTTCATTCAGTCACAATAAAAACTAAAAGCCAACATGAAAATGCTTCAGAGTATTATGTACCTTCCTTTCTTTTTCTTTTTTAACCAACAATTATTTCAATCAGACATATATGAGCGATGGAAGCTTGAATTAAGGTACAGAAAACTTTGTCCACCTAGTTGTCTCCCTGTCTCAGCATCCGCAAAATGGTCAGGAACAAGTTCAGGATATCTAGATACAGAGTGACTGCAGCCCATATGTAATCATCATATGTAAAACGCTTGATCAGATTGTCCGTATCATATATAATGTAACCCGAGAAAATTATCGCACCAATTCCACCGTAAACCGCCGTGGAAGTAGGACCCAGAGGGAAGAATGCCTACGATTCAAAACAACATAGCATACACTTATGAGTTATGAAGATAATGTTGTTAAGGATTCAATCGAAGTTCTGTTAGAACAAATTCCAAGCGAAGGAGGAAGGACAATTGGTTAAGAAAATTGTACAAAATAGTTCTGTTTTATAACCATTTAGTTTTTGAAAATTATACCGTTCTTTTACCGAGGTTTTCATCCTTTTTAAAGGAAACATTTGAAATCCTACCCAAATTCAAAAAACAAAAACAAGTTCTTAAGAACTAGTTTTTTAGATTTCAAAACTTGTAAAAAATAGCAAAACAAACAAACACGAGTGAGTAGTGCTCGTGTTTATAAGCTTAATTTTCAAAGTCCAAAAACTAGACATGGTTATCAAACGGAACATAAGATTTTTAAGTTCTCTCAACTTTTCCCCCTAGATTAAGCTAAGCTAAATTGTAAAATTTCTACCCCTCCATATAAAATTTTCTGGATCCCCTCCGGGCATTGACAAGGTGCTAGTAAAAAAAATATAAAAGTAGAGTCACTAGAACCACTGTTGTCTATGAAGTAGCAGTGAAGGGGCAGTAAATGACCTGAATGAAGCTAGTGAGGAGGAGGATCATTAGGGCAGTAAACAAAAATGGTCCAAGATAGCTGAAATCTTTGCCCTTCTTTGAGGCCCAGAATGTGTACCCAGTTAAGGAAGAAACAACAGCTGAGGTCAAAATTAGTGCTTCAAGCACAATCCTTCCTGCAAGCACCATCACAAAATCACAATTTTTCATCAATACCAGCACAATTAATCATGCTTACCATCTAATCAGCAAGGCTCAACAATTTACTGTACTTATACTAACCATCAGTGTTAGCGCAGCTGACGCCAACCGTGAGGCTTAGTGTAGCCGTAAAAAGTCCGAGGAAGACGAGGTTCAGAGGGTGCTTCTGCCTGTAAATGTACATTGGCCATAATACTGCAAAGATTTGGAGTTATTGAAAGATATTGAACTATGATGCTAACTCAAACGAAAGAATCAACATGAAGTAATTGATAGAATAAGAAAGCTTTTTAGAAATGGTCCACCAGTCAGTGATGAATTCAACAAGATAATTACCCTTATATCAAATAATGGAAATCGATGATGAATCATGATATATATTTGAACTTATGACTGTTTTTAGCATTTAAGATTTATTTTTATGGAAGACTGTTCAAATCATTTCATAAAAGAAGCAAGAACTCTATAACGGAATCCATTAGATCATCAAATTTTAAGGATCCCTAAACTTGTCATTTGTTGATTTTCACCCTCTGATTTCAACATGATCATCAAATTGAAGCCTAAACTCATAAGCACGTTGCATGTTTTACCCACTACTCAATTTTCATTGATTCACTCACAAATTTAACCCAAAAAAATCCGAAGAATATCCAGAATTAGTGAAGATTAAGATTGGAACGCTATCCAAGTTTGAGGTTTGAGGTGAAATTGGATGAAATTGAAAGTTTAGGATGAAAATTGATTTTTTTGCCGTCATTAACGTTTGATTTGTTGCTCTTGCTTCAAAATGAAGTAAAAGCTAATTCCATCCACAAGTATTCTTCTGACCAAATAAAAGAATCTCAGAGTACATGAACAATTAGGTGATCTACAAAAAATAAGGACGCCAATTTCATAAGACCGAAAAGGAAAAGCCGTGACAATGAGTCCTTAATCGACATCCCAAATTCCGATCCACATAATTCATGAAATAAAAAAAACAAATGCACAATAAAATTGATCCGCCAAGAACCATAAAAAGAAAATTCAGAACCGATTAACGAATATAAAACAGCGACCATTGGACTGCGATTCCGAAATGATTGACTTACAGATTAGGGGAAGGAAGCAAAGGAACAGAAGAAGACCAGAATTTCCCCGGAGAAGGTCGTTGATCGGAGAGTATAAAACGGTAACGGAGGAGACAAGGGTGGTGAGAACGATCTGCGCCGCAATAATTCCGTACACCTTACGGATGAAACCCCATCGGAGCTGATTTTCGCCATAGCTCAAACCTGGATACAAGGTCTCCCCTGATTCTAGGTCTACTTCTCCACCCTTGTTACTCACGCCCGTGTACCCGTACATCTCTTCGTTTTTCGCTCGAAAATTCTCTCGCTGATTTTCTCCGCAAAATTTTCTGTCAAAACAGTTGTTTTTAGGAGGCCACCACCATCACCAATAAGAATGCCGACTGAGTCATAGTTTTGATCAAGTGACGAGTTTGTGACGCTTGAGCATCACAGCCTTCTTCTGGTCGTTGGATAGAAAGAAAAACTGTGTTACTGTATTGTTCTGACGGTCGAGATCTTCACGTGGGACTTCACGGTGACTTTTCATTTCATTTCAATTCTCATCTTTGAGTTTTGAATTTTTTACTAATAAATTATTCCTTTTAAAGAAACTTTTTTTTTTTATAAATAATTTTCATTTTTCGTTATAATTTCTATTAAAAAATATATAACGTTTTAATAAATTCAATAATATTAGGTAAAATAATAACTAAAAATATGATGATTTCAAATATTTATGACATTTTGAATCTTCGTAACATTTTAAAAAGTATTAGAAGTATTTTTAAATTATAAATTAAATCCACACACCCGGCGACTTTGTCTTTAATTACATTAATAGCAATTAAAAGTCAATTTGATGCCCATTTCTCTTTCAAATTTATTTATTTATTCTTAGTTCATATTTATTTAAAACTTTGTTCTTTTCATATATTTTTTAACCCAAACTTTAAAATTTGGAAAATTTAATTTATTTTAAAATTTTAAAAAATTATGATTGAATTAAGAAAAAAAAACATCCTTAAAACTTTCCAAAATTTCAATAATACTCTTTAACATTAATTTTTTTTTAAAAAAATATTGGTGTCCAATGGAAACCCTTAGAAATTTATTTAAAAAATACCCTAAAATTTTAATTAATACTCTTCAACTTTTTTAAAAAAATTCAAAAAAAAGTATTTTTTTTTTTAAATGGTAAGAATATTATTGAAAATTTTAAAAGTTCAAGAATATTGTTGAGAGAGTGTAAATTTCAAACGTTTTTTTTTTAATTTAGACAAAAATTAAACTAAGATTTCAAAATATTAACAAACGAGCTTAAATAAAATAAAATAAAATAAAATAAAAGATTTTGAAACATATTATTTTCCTAGATTAAGAGAGAATTTTCCCTTGTCTTACCAAATTAATAAAGATCTTCGCTTTCAAAATTTTACAATCAAGGGAGCAGAGGAACACCCTTCTGAACTCTCAAACCGTGTATGATTTGAATCCACCAAATCAACTTTAATGCCCATATACCAAAAATCTTTAGACAAATATGAACCTCTGGTTTTGAAGAGAGAGGCATTTATTTCCACCTGCCAAACCAACGAGCAACCAAAAATCAAAGATCACCTCAAAGTTCCATCAATTTAGAGAACGTTTGTCTCGCGATGGTAATAAGACGTTTAAAGTCGACAGCATCAAGTTGGTATAACGTATGTTACAGTACAGTAGAAATCTAAGTTGGTATAATCGATATTTTAGTTCGTTTGATTTGTAAACATTTGTGAGTTTCATGGGAATTTACGAACTCATATACTAACATAAAATCCAACATTTAGACTCCATTTGATGATCATGTATTAAATAAGGTGAAAAGCTTGTCAAGAACTTGTGGTTTCCAACTTTTGGAGGGAAACGAGCAAATTTTGCGAAGAGCTAGAATAGTTATTAAACGGGACCTAAGATAGCGTTAGAGAGACTCACATCGTATTGCTAGATAGCAGAAAGTGGATGAAGGTATCAGATGATGACTTTGTCAAAGAAAACAGAAGCACTGATGACACCAATCAGGCACAACAGGGAGAGAATATTTGCCACTCTGCTTGATGAGTTTGATAAGAAATACAGCTTATGACTGCTGCTATCCCCTCGGAAACCTCTTACAATCATTGCCTGCAGCATAAGTCAATGAATCAAATTTAGTTCGATATATATG